CGACCAAATTCTCCCTGTGTTTGCCCACGTCCTTGACCCAAGCCAACCGGACCAAGTTGGCGATGAGGTTCGCTCCGAACTGATCCACCTTATTGCTCTCATCAACCAAACGGAATCAGCCAAGGTTCAGGCAGCTGGCCTTGCGCCTTTCCTGCCGGGAGCGTAGTAGATGAGTGAGTACACGATACCCTATGTCCTTATTTTTCTAGTTCCTCGCTTGCACTGCTTTCTCTCGCTCTTGACCTTTAACGGATTACATTTACGAATGCGCCAGCTTCCATAGTACACCTTTGTGTTAGAGTTATGATTGGTTAGTATCAGAATATGAATAATTGAAAGAGGATCGAGGACGCGTTGTTGTGGTATGTTGACGGTAGTATTACCTGGGGAGGAGCGGTGTTCAGCCGCCTTGGCTCTCTCTGTGCTTGAAGTGACCTCGCTGGCCGACTCGTTCCCCGGCTCGACCTGAAAGACTTCCCGCCCAACACAAGCTTCTATGTCTGTCATTCTTTTGTTTCTCCTGGCCTCTTTTACGGCTACCACCTACGCCGCTTCCTCGGTCACCGTGGTTCAAGATCTCAACCACCAGCTTCCTCTGGTCGCAAGGGTCAACCAGCCATACTCCTGGACATTTTCACCGTACACTTTCAGCGCTTCAGATGGCCCTTTGAAATATACTACATCTACACTCCCTGCTTGGCTTCTTTTCGACGATTTAACTCAGACTTTCCATGGAATACCCTCAGCGAACGACACTGGCTACCCGGAGATCACTGTTACCGCTCACGCTACGAGCTCGTCGACGTCTTCTAGATTTACGATATGCGTCACGGGAGACTCCCCGCCTTCTTTGAATTTGCCGCTGTATCAACAATTCAACTCGACCAGCAAATCTTTATCCTCTGTCTTCTTTCTACGGCCGGGTTCCGCAATATCTTCACCCAATCCGACTCTTAGGGTTCCTCGGAAGTGGTCCTTCAGTGTCGGCATCGAGAGCACTACGTATGTCGACGGGGATAGAGATGTCTTTTATGAACTTCGCATGGCAAATGGCTCCAACATACCCGACTTCCTGAACTTCAACTCCCAGACAGTTGCGCTGGACGGTGTCGTACCTACTGCTGATAAGATCCCTCAACCATCCCTCCTCCCGTTCTTGCTCTACGTGTCAGACCAAGAAGGCTATAGTTCAACGACGGTGCCGTTCGATATCGTGGTGGCGGATCATGAACTCTCGCTGGAGACCGCGTCCCTTCCGACGATCAACATCACGACCGCGACCCCTTTTCTCGTCAGCTTGCTTTCGTCTGCTGATTTCACCGGCGTTCTTGTCGATGGCGGCCCAATTCAGCCGTCGAATATATCTACGCTGGATCTCAACGTCTCGGGCTACAGCTGGCTGCATTATGACGCGCCTAGTCGCACCTTGTCTGGTACTCCCGGCAGCGATGTTACTGGCTCGAGCCCTCTTCTTCCTGTGACTCTGACGACTATCTTCAACCAGACGATTAGGACGAACGTTTCTCTGGCGCTGGTGGAGTCGTACTTCGTGATGCCTGATTTGCCCTCTCTGCATGTGAGTCCTGGCGATCAAATCCACTTCAACCTGGCACAGTGGTTCTCTACTTCTACCGCCATTCCGGGACATGATAGCGCCAATATCACAGCGTCTTTCGACCCGATTATAACTGCGAACTGGCTGCGCTACGATGACAACACCTCTAACCTCACAGGCACGGTCCCGCCGGATTATCAGTCCCCTTCGGACCATGTGACGGTCACTTTCACGGCGTACTCTCGTGTTACACACTCGACCTCCCATGCAACTCTCGCCATCTACATACCCTCCACCAATAACACCCAAGCTATTGTCCCTACACGTCCTAGCGGGCTCGATGTCCAGGCGCATAAACGGCTGGTTCTGGCCGTCGTGCTCTCCTTTGGGCTCATTGGTGCTCTGGTTCTTCTCGTGGGCTTCTTCGCACTATGCAGGCGCTGGGCGCGGGTCAAGGACACCGCCGTGTTGGGCGAGGAAGGGAGGAACGCCTGGAGCGAGAAGGACAGGCGGTGGTACGGCATGACGCTCAGCCCTGGCGGCACAAGGGTGGTGGAGAGGACGCCGACGAATCCGTCTGGGTCTGAGGACAGCCTGTCGCCGTTGACGCGGCCGCAGGAGGCGTTCCCGAACTATGGCCTGGGCTTAAGGAGGGTCTCTGAACGGAGCCACCCGCAGGGCTCTCCTGGAGGAGAGGTGATCAGCCCTGGAGTGCTGAGCAAGAAAGAGTTCCTGGCGAGGCTTAGAGAAACGGTGCGCAAGGTCAGCGGGAAGTACGAGCAGAGGCAGCGCGCGCTGCCGAATAGGCCTATGATTGGGAAGCCTATTCTCGTAGCGTCGACGAGAGGGCCTGATCAGACCGACTCGATGATGCAGAACTCGACGTCCAATCCGTTCGAGGATGCGCCACTTGGTCAGCCTGGAAGCACGTTCATGACTGGCTCGCCGTCCAACTCGACTGGAGAGCATTCGATTCCTAGGCGGCGACCCGACTTTGCTCCTCCCAAGAACATGGCTCAGGTACACTTTGATGACACGAGCTTCCTAGTACGACAGGTCTCTACGGGTTCGATGGGGTGCGTTTTTATTCCTTCTAGACGTTCTTTGGGATTGACCCTAGTCATATAGCGCCAACAGCTATCGCAGTGGAAAAAGTGGGCTTTCAGGAGAATCTTTCGTAGAAGTACCGATGGGCCCGCCTACCAAACCTCGACTCGTTCCGTTCACGAGTTCAACACGTGTTCCTGTCCCTCAGGCTACTGCTGTCGTGGTTGGGGCCCCAGGGGGCAACTTCCCGCCGAAACGCGTCGCAAGCCAGTATGCTAAGGTGTGCAAGGTGGACTCTAATGGTGAAAGCGTTGAAGAAGGCATCAAGCTCAGCGGAACGAGTGACGAGCTTACGATGGGGATTCATTACGTGCGCTCGCTTGGTGCGGATCAGCTTGCGGTGAACACCAGCAGCCTCGGCGGCGGGTCTCCAGTCTTGTCGAACATTCGATCGTCTTTCACCTCTCTCGAGTCGTCTCATCTTGGGCACAGGTCGGAAAAGGGGCCGATGAAGGTCTTGGTCAGAACTGGAGAGAGGTTCAAGTTTAGGGTGCCTGTTGTCTCGACGGGTGGGAAGGGTAAAGGATATTATGTGAAGCAGACTTCTGGTCAACCTCTGCCGAAGTTCATTCACCCAGACCTCAATGGTATTGGGAACAAAGGGGTGCTGGAATTGTCTGGGGTCGCAACCTTCAAGGACATTGGGGACGTCAGCATCGGTGTATATGCGGAGAAGGATGGGGCCTGTGTGGCGACTGTGGTAATAGAAGTCGTCGGGAAGCGTTAAATTTTCTTTTGGTTCATTTTCTTCCAATGTATCCATATCTCGGACGATGTATCTTTTAGACAGCCTATTGACGTCAGATAGACAGCATGTTCATACTATACTCACATTCGTTTTGTTGCAATAATCTTAATACGTCGCTCATATGTTCGAAAGGCAGGGGGTTGAGCGGGAAGAGAAAATATAATAGAGAAAGTCAATTACAGTAAAGAAAGCGAAGCAATCCTCTGATCTACCCCTAGGTTCCAGGCCCAGCGTACGCCGTCTACAAGAAGTCCGTCTTTCTCCGAGTGTATGCCGGAATGACGATGGTGAGAGAAAGTCTATGACTTCCAGATGAGGATAGCGAGGTTGCCGACATAGAAATAGATGAAGTGTTTGGTTTCTGCAATACAGCATGGTCAGGTCGAGTCATACGAGGGTGGGATAAATGGTATTTTTAGACGCAAATTCGTGCCCAGGTATAATGCCACTTGTGAAATGCGCGAGTTGGACGCGTCTTTTGGATAGTGGGGCGGCGAAGAGAAGAGAAAGCAGCAGCGAGGACATACCATGGGTGACATAACTGCCAAAGTTCTTTCCTACAACGACATGCCAGGTGGGACCGTGTCTTCGGTCGAATTCCTTCTTGATTTGAGCGGCGATGTCTTTCTCGATGTTGTATTTCTCGAGCGCGGCGGACGCGATGTCGACGCTCTCTTGCTGCATCTCCTCGCTCATGTCGACGTTTTTAATGATGGCCTTTGGTGAGGCGCCGGTGAGGGCCTCCTTGATGGAGCCGGTGTCTGTGGAGGAGGTTGGCGCGTCGACCTTGTCTGCCATGGTGGATGTGAAATGGATGGATGGTGGTTGGCCTGTGGTGGTATTTGAGAGAGCGGGGATGCGTGTTTGTATTGAGGCAGCACGTGGTCCAGGGCCGTGTGCCACTCGCTCGATTCGTCCGTCGGCTCTCTTCGGTCCTCTCCCCCCAACAGCTCGCCCAGTCCTCCCCCGCCTCCATGTGCTCCCACTCCAAGCCATACGCACAAGATTCGCCTATCTTTGCTACAGTGCTTAATTTTGTAAACGCCTCACCAGAGCAAGCCCGTTCTGCTGTGGCCGCCGCGTGGACAGTCAAGACCCTCCCAGTCGCAAGAAACGTTGGTCTACATGTGCAGGTCCATCGTACTCTTCTCGCGCCGGAAACGTGTCCTCTGTGCACATATGCCTCCTTGCTTCTCCGTGTCTAGTTGGGTAAACCCATTCTTGGCGCTAGTCCATGAAGGCACACTCATTCATGAAATCCTGGCCTTGATCCTTGTCAGTGGCGTAATCTTATCTAGACGAGTCTACAAACACTACCTCGGCCTGCTTCTGCATTAATCCTTGACATCTTTGCCGAAGCAGCTCGAACTCCGTGTTTGAATGCGTGTTGCAGCCAATACGCACCGTATGGGCCCTCCTTGTCTTCTTGAAATGAATGTTTCGTACGCACAAGGTATCCATCACTGGCGGTTGGGGACCGACCATGATTTGAAGGCGGAGACCGCGAGACCGGTTCAACAGTCTTTTGAAACCCCAACGCATGCTACATCTCTTACTGTGACCAGCCAAGCTTTCTCTTGTTGTTCCTGCTGTTCATATTCGGACTCAATCTAAATGAAAATAGGTCGGAGGAAAGACTAATTATATCCATTGCACTAACTGGTCAATCTCTCTTCCTTAATCCTTCAAATCTCCCTGGCTTCTTTGCCGGGGGCTGCTGGGCTGCTGATGTGAAGCATATTTACCGCGTGTAACACGGCTTTGTCGCTGGCTATTCCCGTCATGAACCATGAGTTTATCAGAGATGTCCGGGCAGAGAGGTCATCGATCACGGCGTCCGCATGCTCGAGCCAACATCGGGCGACATTGGGTGTCTTCGGAATAGTTGGGTTCTTCCGAGCGAGGCCGTTGCGGTGGGTTCATCATTCATTGGCGTGGAAGTAGGGCAACAACATCTCGGAGAATGAATGGATTCCACTGGGGCTAGTTCCCGCAATCTCACTCACGTTTGTCCACTGTCCAGCGCTGTGATCCTTCTTCATGATTCCTACCCCGAATTTCTTTCTAGTGTCCTTCCGCCGCGAGAACAATCAATGCCGAGAATGCGCTGATCGTAGAGTCCATAAGACCATCCTCCGCCGATGTCGAAACGCTGATTCGTGACGCTGGATATGGTTTTCTCTATCCTCAGTGAAGTCAAGGCTCTGACAGACACCTTTGTGAGAACTTGGCTGACTTACGCCCAAGTCGGCGAAGGCGGATGCATGATTCTGCCTTCCAATTATCCAAGTTCTCAGCTACATGTGTGTTTGCTGTCATGGATTTATTTTGAGCACTAGAATTAATGGGTTGCTTTGCCTCAAGAGAGACGGGCGCCGGTATTTTGACACTCTGACACCAACTCATTCCGACGACCGAGGTCAGTAAACTAAGTATGGAGCAGATTACACCAAGGGTAATAATAGGGTCGATAGAAACAATAGGTCAGTGCATTATATATTAGGTCTGTATCCGCGCGTGGAAGCCTATCCAAGACTTCTGAACCACCTGCTTCGAAGACTTATGACGGAAGAGAAGTACAGATGGCATGACAGACATAGCCTCGAGGCGAGTGGAATCTATCGGAAGTGTATCTTGATTTGTCACGCTCTCTACCTATAATTGGTGCTTTCCCATATTAAGAATAGACGAATATCACCGAATAAATCCATGAATTAGCCAAGCGCCACGGAGGCATCACTCGAAGGACTAGTAGGTTGGTGAAGACATGAGGGCCACATAGGCGTTACGAGAGTCTAACCATACTGGGAGTGATGCAATTTTCGAGGGATGAAATACTTGGATTTCGGGCAGTGAAACTTGCATAGCAGAGGAGGCCTGCGAGGTTAGGTGGCGAGCACAAACTGCAGCGTGATGATGATTGCCTTATCTGGATATATGCTTGCCCCATTCGGTAACTCGGTATACCCCGCCCTCCAGGAAGCGCCCCAACAATCTTTCGTATCTGCTCGTGCATTCGAGTTGTATCAACATCAATTCCATCATTTTTTTGTCGGTAAGCGGTATAGAGGAATATTTATTTGGGCTGAACCTTTCTACCTCTACCAACCGAGAAGCCCTTCTATCCATCTGGTCAATTCCCATTGTCCGGGAGGAACCAATAAAATTAACTAAATCTAGGGATGGTTCTCTTGCAATAATTCTTGCTCGACATGGGTGTTCATCCGCCAACGGCATTGGTCGAAGAAGGAGCACCGGAGATCATACTGGACGAGGTGGTCTGATCACCCAAGGTCCACTTCCTCACCAGTTGGTCATAGACCCCCTTGAAAGTGTCGAGCGACCCTTTCTCTTGTACAAGGAGGAGAGAGACGAGAAACCCATCGTGGCAGAGTTGAGGAGTCGGCCACTGCATCTCGACACGAAACTTGACAGACTTGGCAGCCTGTCCGTACGCATTGTTGGGGTCCTTCACATCATGTGAACGACATTTGAGAACACCCAGCTTCTCAGAGTCTTCGAGCGAGACCAGCATGTCCATCTCGACGAGCAGCCGTCGGCATTCGCTCCGCGTAGTGTGAACGTCGTATCGAGAGAGGAGGTTGTACGTCGCGGTCTTGAACTTGAAGACGTTGTCCAGCCAACTGCGCTTCGGAGGCCCGCATGACCCCGTCGGAGAGCCGGTGAAGGAGGATCCGGCATCAGAGAACATGGGTGAGACGGGCGAGGTTGAGTATCGCTTTTTCTTGAGCTTTGAGGGTTTCCGCGAGACGGGGGCGGGTGTCGAGTCAAAGACCTGCAAGCGCTTGTTGTCGCCCATGGTCATGCTGTGGGGAGTCAGCGGGGACCGACGGTGAATAAGGTCGGCCTCAGTGATGCGTGCCTTGTTCTCCTTGTCTGCTGCGTCGAAGGTAGTGATTATGGGACGAGGCAGGCGACTCTTCTGCACAGATAGAGGCCGCGTACCGTTGGGAGTCTTCCGAAGTGGCGTGGAAGTTTGTGCGACTTCCATATCGCGGCGAGGAGACGATGTCGGCATTGTCGGTATTTCTGGTAGTTTCAATGCAGGAGGAAAAACGCCCAACTCTGAGGCAGGAGCTGGGCTCGATGAGCGAGAGTTAGCGTCCATGGAATTGGTTTTAGCTCGAAGAACGTTCAGGTGGTTCGCGATTTGTTGGAAGAATACTTGGATCTTTTCATCCTCGAGTTCGGGAGCAGTGATAACAGGGAGTTCCATGCCGACTGCGATGGCAGCAGGTGAATTGGCTCGAGTAGGCCTTTCGGGTGATGGAACAGAGAGTGAGATGAGAGGGGGGATCGGAGCAGTTTCATTTCGAGTGGACGATGCGTCAGACGTAGACCTCTTCATGCCGCGATCTCTCGCTCTGCGAGGAGTAGGAGGACCGTCACGAGGGGGAAGAGACCGTTCTATCGCCTTTGCGGCCTTTTCGGCTCTCTTGCTTTTCCTCCGTTCCATCTTTGCTCGGAGCTCCTCCGACTCTTGGCGCACCTCCGCGTGTTTCTTCCGATAGTTGAGGAGTAGGTGATATATTCCCTTTTGCCAGTTACGTTCCGGGTTCATGAGGGCGTCCATCAACTCCTCGTCCTGCGTTCCATGCCACAGGGTTCGTAGATTCGCAAAAATGTCGGGGTCAATGGCGGATTGACTTCTAATAGGGTGCGCGATACTGTCTATCTTAAGACCTGACGACATGGACTTGGGGTTTTTGAGCGGTTGAGATAGGAAGAATGGATGCCGCATGATCTCGGGCATGGTTATGCGCTTCTTCACGTCTGTGGTCAACATGCGCAGGATAAGGTCTTGTGCTCGTGGTTCGATATCTGTCGGCATGTCGAAACGGCCAACCGAGATTTTTTGGAGGAGAGCAGGGCAGTCGTCATCGTCGAAAGGAAGTTTGGCGGCTAGCAAGGCGTACAGAATAATGCCGCAGGACCAGATATCGGCCGTCGCGCCGTTGTAGGGTTTTCCAGAGATCACCTCGGGCGCAGCGTAATGTGGGCTTCCGCATGACGTTCGAAGAAGATTTCCTCGTGCACTATCTTGCCAAGCCGCCATTCCGAAGTCAGCGACCTTGATGTTGGAGTCTTGATCGATGAGGATGTTCTCCAGTTTGAGGTCGCGATGGGCAATGTTGAATCGATGGCAATAGTCGACAGCACATATAATCTGCTGGAAATATCCAAGGGCCTCGGACGTAGGACGGCGCCCTTTACTGCATAGGTATTCAAAGAGCTCTCCCCCTTGCACATATTCGAGGATGAGATATAGACTGCTGGATGTCTCCCAAACGTCGTATAGCTTCATGATGTTGGGATGGTCGATAAGCTTCATGACCACTATTTCGCGCTCTACAGCAAGTAGGTTGTGCTCTACCTCGTCCGGGAGGCGATTGAGAGACACCCTGCTTCCCAGCGAGCTCTTCGAGATGATCTTTATAGCAGCGTATTGCCCAGTCTTCGAATGTCGCGCTATACGAACATGACCTGTGCCAGAAAGTATAGGTCTTGTGTTATCTATTTTTTTTTATCAAATGGGTACATACCAGAAAATCCCTTTCCCAACGTTCGGCCAACTTTCCACAATCCAATCATTTTCGGGTCATGAGATTGTTTTGGCGGCTGCATCGAGAAGGGACTTTGAAGATCAGTCATGGCGAGCAAAGCAGACGGTCAAAGAGAAGGAGGTTTTTAGCGGCTGACATTGTAGTAGAGGAGTTGGATGGAATGGAGAACTTGAGAACTGGACTGGAATCACTGGAGAGGCTGAACCTCGGCGAAGGCGGTGACAAATAAGGCCAAAGAACGCGTCGCACCCGTGTCGTCACGGGGTCTCCGTATAATTGACTCGCGTCTGACTCTGGTATTAATTGCCACTTGAAAAGCTATTGTCCTCCTCTACCACCACGAATCGTGAACACTTCAGCCATTGTATCAGAAGATATCTGCTGTGAAGTCAAAGTTTTTCTGCCGCCCAACATGATGCAGCCAACTCCAGCACCGTCATCTGCCCCAAACTCTCCTGGCCACCAGAGTGAACCCCAGCTTGAGAAGCCTAAGTATAACCCACCACCTCAGAATGTTGGAAGTGCGCCATTTGGAATTCTTGTTGGGCTGTTTGAGAAGCTACAGAACGAACGCAAACAAGACCGGCGACGAAAGTTGATTGACGCATGGTTCACTGTACGCCGCACTTCATATCGTTTCCTTCAATTCACTGGACCGCACATGTAGCATTGGCGACAAGAGAAAGGATACGATCTCTACCCTGTGCTTCGTCTTATTCTTCCCCAGGTATTCTCTCCGGTGTTCTTTCAATAACAGATTGGATTCAAACGGAGACGACAGAAAGACAGAGAGCGTGCAGTATACGGCCTGAAGGAGAAGAATCTTGCGAAGGCCTACATTAAGCTGATTCCTCTTGGGATGAGAGACCCTGATGCAATTCGTCTTCTTAATTGGAAGAAGCCTACTGAACGGGAGGTATGTTGCTCACTGGCCTTTTCTAATATGGCGTCTCTTGAACTTCGCAATCCTTCTTGACGGTCAGAAATCCTCTGGAGATTTTCCAACAGTCTTATTCGAAGTTGTCAGCAAGCGCTCTTCAGTTATCGAAGGCTCTCTAAGCATAGACGACGTGAATGATATCCTGGACGAGCTCTCGAAGGGCATGGGGAAACAGTGGGTGTTTTCGTCTTCACCTGCGACTTGACTCATGGCATGAGGAATAGGGATGTCCAATCCAAGATTCTTCAACGGATATATAATCGCTCAACTGCTGAGGAGCAGCGCTGGATTGTGCGGATTGTGTTGAAAGGTACGCACGCTGACATCGTTCGTGAGGTTGTACCTCTAACATGGGTGTTGCAGATATGGTCATCTCAGTCAAGGAAACTACGGTGTTCTCGGTGTTTCATCCCGACGCACAAGATCTTTACAACACTTGCTCAGACCTGAAGAAGGTTGCTTGGGAGCTCTGGGACCCATCGTTTCGCCTCAACGCAGAGGTATTATTCCCCTTCATGATTTTTTATCGGATCCTAGGACTTACATTCGTGTTAAGGATAAAGCAGTTCAACTATTCCACGCCTTTGCGCCCATGTTATGCAAACGTCCTACAAGGAAAATCGAAGAGACAGTACGCGAAATGGGTGGTGCTGAGTTTATCGTGGAGGAGAAGCTTGATGGAGAGCGAATGCAGTTGCACAAACGAGGAAACGAATATTTCTATTGCTCTCGGTGAGCGTGTTCTGTCTATCTTTGCCTCCGTTTGCTAAATTCGTGTAGGAAAGGCAAGGATTACACCTATCTATACGGCAAACACGTCGGTGTGGGAAGTCTCACTCCCTATATCGACAAGGCCTTCGATCCTCGGGTCGATGAGTGGGTGACAGGTTTCAGTCTATGGCTGTACACTGACAGCGCCTTTAGCATAATATTGGATGGAGAAATGTTAGTTTGGGATCCAGTCTCTGAACGTAACCTCCCCTTTGGCACGTTGAAAACTGCGGCCCTAGGTAAGAGTCAATTCTCTCTCAAGGAAGTATTTTCTATATGCTGCTCTAGATAAGTCGAAGAAGGAACTTAACCCGAGGCCGTGCTGTAGGGAGATTGCCTTTCTATTCCACCTGACCACGATGGCTGAACCCTCGGAATTTCTAGTCAAAGTTTTCGACTTGTTGTACCTGAATGGACAATCCCTGCTTCATCGTTCAACACAGTTCCGGAAGAAGAATATGCGACAATGCTTGAAGGAGATTACAGGTCGCATTGAATACGCTGTCGAGTACAGAGGAAAGACGGCCAAAGATATCAGGGAACGAATGGATGAAGTTATGGCCAATAGAGGTGAAGGGCTGGTCATCAAGCACCCAATGGCCAAGTACGTTCTTAATGGCAGAAACCTGGACTGGATTAAGGTAGGCACGTAACTCTTAAGAAAGGAACGAGGACTGAACCTTCCTTTCTAGGTCAAGCCGGAGTATATGGTACGTCTGAAAGCGGGTTTATAGGTCCTCGACCCTTACGATGAAAAGGACAATATGGGCGAGACCGTCGACTTGCTTGTTGTCGGTAAGTTTGTTTGTCTTCTTGGGGACTTTTGCATATGTTAAACCTTTTCAGCGGGCAACTATGGCTCTGGGAAGCGTTCAGGAGGCGTCTCGACTCTTATCTGCGCCGTATTCGATGATCGAAGAACCTACGAAGATGATGAAGATCCCAAGTCAGTTAATCCGTTTCTTCAACCCGACTGGGCCAATAATCATTGTGAATTCAGATACAGCAGTTTTGTCCGCATAGGCACTGGGTTATCGTTCGCCGACTACGTCTGGATAAGAGCCAAGCCATGGAAACCTTGGGACCCTAAACACCCGCCAGAGTTTTTGCAAACGGCAAAACGAGGACAAGATGACAAGGGCGATATCTATCTGAACCCAGAAGAGTCAGTCCTTGTCCCCTCCGGCTATTTATTTATTTTTACTGAGGAATCTTATAGCTCTTTCATCATCAAGATCAAGGCGGCAGAAATTACACCATCTGGTAAAGAACTAGTTTATGGGCAATCCACAGGCTCACAGAAATCCTACTCGAAGATCAATACCATATGGGTTATACGATGAGGTTCCCTCGCGCACTATCCATTCGGGACGATTTGACTATCGCCGACTGCATGCCCGCATCTGGTACGCAATAGGCAATGTCTCCACATCGAACACCTTAAATCTGACATGGATGTTCTCAGCTGTCTTCGAAAGCTTGCGGACCGAAAGAAAGCGGAAGATGGAAAGCGACGCTGGGTAGTTTATCCTGGCAAGGCACAGGGGCTCCGCTGATGCAACATTTTTTATTTCTCTAGAGTCACAAAGAAAAAACGCAAGACCACCGTGAAGAAGGTGATTTGTCGCTTTGTGTTCCCTTTGTCCTGAGCTCATCGTTGGCAATTAGGCAATGGTTCTTCCTCAATATCAAGGGCCATCCAAGAAAGGAATTACTGTGGAAAGTGACATTTTCGAAGGCATGAAGTTTGGTAAGCAATGCAGGAGATTGTGAAATGGTGGTTATCCTTCACTCATTCACGCGTGTGTAGTTGTCATGTCGGACCCGAAGTCGAGAACCGGTGAAGAAGACAAGAAAACCATCACGAAGTCGTTCGTATCTTGCGCCCCTCGTTTCAAGAAAGACGCTTATCCTCGTGCAGGATCTACGCAAACGGAGGAACCTGTGCCCAAATTGCGAACAATCAGCCCAATCTCTACGTCATTTATGGTGGCTCCATTACCCGTTCGTTGTTTTCCTTTTGTTCCTGCCTTGCCTTGCCTTGCCAATGGCTACTCATATTGTGATGCTAGCGTATGATCTTAAGCTGGTGATCGATAAAGGCAAGGTTGAGGTGTTAAAGCCGAGTTGGATTATGGATTCCATTGAACAGGGTGAGAAAGTGCCCATGCGAAAGAAGTAGGTGTCCTTACTATAAATAATTAATAAAAATTGACATTGTATCAGGTATTTCTTCCATGCTACAGATGTACGTCTAGCAGAAGATGACTACGACGAACGGGACGAGGAAGATGGTGTGGCGTCAGCTGTCGCTGGTCCTTCTGCGAAGGTGGAGGAGGATGTTTCTATGAGCTCTACTGAAGACACGGAAATTACACCCAAAGTGGAAGAAGAGATGGACCCTTCGCTTGCAGACTGGTTCAAGGTTGCTGGACCATCAACCGAAAATGACGTAGACGAAGATTCAGTAACCGAACCTGATTCCGACAACGCTGATATTGTCGAACCTGAGGAAGAGGTCGATCTGGATGACTGGTTCCAGGTCAAAACTGAAGAGGCGTCAACATCTGAAAAAGCAGCTGGTAAACAACCAGAAAAGGCTGCTGTATGTATTGGTTCCTGTTCTTTCGAACAGTTTTCATTTCTTGCTGTCAGGATGAAGATATAAAAATGGGCGAGACGGAAGACTCCACGGAGTATGATCAAGACCTCATCTTCAGACATCTGTATGTCCCCAGATATCGTATCTTCAAATCTGTGCTCAACCTCTACCAGTTGTTTCTATTTGGATTCGCTGGAGAATGCTACACAGAATGGCTTAACTGTCAAATCCTCCAAGCACGAGAAGGACATGAACCAAAGGTCAGCGCTCCTTGAGATGCCATGCCCAGTTTCCTTCGCTCGGCTCACAAAACGCAGTTTGGCACGGCTGTCCAAGCTAATCACAGACAATGGCGGGAAGGTGGTTGATCTTGATGAGCCTAAACTCACACATATTGTCATCGATCGACGGGACGACAGTAGGCGTCTCGAGCTGATGAGGCGTACTTCAAAGTTCGTGTTCTCGCAATGCGTTGACGCTGTATGGACTGACAACTGCTATCACAAGGCCCAAACGAAGGCATCTTGTTATCTCCGACTTCATCCAGGCCTGTTTGGACGAAGGAACGCTCCTCGAGGAAGGAGGTGAGAGACGCGCCAATTGAACAACACATTTCACTAAACGTGGTCTGCAGAATTTGCTCCTTAATCCCCGTTGGAGGACTTGAGGAGAGCCTACGTACTATGTATGCCTATCTATATGATGACCATGTATTTTTACTCTGTGGCCTCTTGTGGCACTTTGCAGGATTGATGGAGATAATCCGATTGTTTTTGCATGTTTTTGGTCGGAGTTTTTGGCGGTGTGGCCAATGGTCATCGTGCGCATCCCAATCAGGGCGAGACGCTCTGTAATTCACTCTTCCTCCACCGCCCCCCGCGGCTCTCTTTCCCTTCTCCTTACACCTGTATTTTCCCCCAGAAAATCTTTCCCCCCTTGCGACACCGGAATACGTCTACCGCCTTTTCCTCTCACCTCTACATTTTCCCCTTCTCTTTTCTCCCGACTGTGCGGCCACAGCCACGACAACTGCATCAATAATTTCAGCTTAAGGCCTCCATCTGAAAATGGCGGATCTCCAAGTATCACCCATATCTCAACTCCTCCACACACTGGGGTTAACGCGCGAAGACCTCAACAAACGCAGCGACCAGATGCGACAATTTCTCACAGCCGATGACGCCCTGTCTTCACGCGTTCTCGAGCGCGATAGTGGTCATAGACCAAGGTCTCGATCAGAATTAAACACTACTTCAAGACCTGCAGGCTCCTCGCGGTCGTTGGCGCGTTCGCTGTCCCGCGCCAGTTCAAGTTCCCTCCGTGAAGGCACCCCGCCGGCCACACCAGTGAAGTCCGAACCACACGAGAGCACAATCCCTCATCGCCGTATGGATAGCATGGAGATGGTTTTGGAAAGGCAAAGACGTCAGAGGAAGAGCCGGAAGGAGCGAGAGCGCGAGTCGAGCAAAAACATGCTACACCCGCCATCCCCCTCCCCCAGTAACGCGTCTCAATCCACGCCAAGTCTTGATTCACACATGCATTCACGCGATGAATCACGGAATAGTAGTCAAGCAGCTACGGCTGGAGGATCTAGCGTCCCCAGAGAGGTGAGCAGACGTGTTTTAACGCGTTGTGGCCCAGTCATTGATTCCTTGTTACCAGACCGTTGAGCCCCCGCCAGTTACTCCTCAGAAAAGCAAGTACTACAGAGACCATACAATTTTAAGCGCAACGTCGCAGCCATCCGAGGTGCGCGTTTTCTTCTTGTCGTATGAAACACTACTGATGTCTTGTAGGACTTGACATGTAAAACTGAGACACCGACTCCCACGCGCCCCATCACTCAGCCGCCGCCTCCTCCCCAGACCCAGCCTCTGCATCCCTACTATGCTTATCCGGGGTACATGGGCTATTCACATTATTTGCCCGTGGCCTATCGACCCGCACAACCCAGCTCCTCTTCCTCTATTCCTATCACCCCCCAGGCTCAGCGTACCCAATCAGTTCCCCGTAAAAAGACCCCATCACCTCTTCCACCATCTTCCCCACCTCCACCCTCGTCTCCTATGTCATCGCCTGTTCGCAGGATCATCAACGTTGTCTCATCTCCGGGACCAATGGGTCCTGAACCCGAAGAGAACGAATACGACAACTTACCCTATAAACTCCCTCCTGGACCTTATTCACCCAACAAACCAGACCTCTCCTACGCCGCACTCGTTGGCCGAGCGATTTTATCATCTCCAGAGCATCGTCTCACTCTTCAAGAGATTTATGACTGGATTACAATTGTCTACCCTTACTACAAGCGAGGCGAAACAACTTGGATGAATAGCATCCGGCACGTCTTAAGCACTACAGTGTGCTTCCGCAAGGTTCCTCGAGATCGCTCGGTCGGCAGGACTCTATGGGCTATCTATGACGAAGATTTGGAGTGCTTCAAAGATGGTGGTTTCAAGAAGCATTTGTGCAAGGATTACATAAACGGAAACGACGGCAAAGAGAAGGGTGCGTCCAAAGGTAAAGCCAGAGCGCGCAAACGGGGGGAAGATGACGACAATCCAGAGGGCCGCAAGACAAAGAAAGCGAAGAAAGATCAGACCGCTTCGTCTTCTACCGCTGACATCAGTGTTGTGCAGAATTCTTTGCGTGGACATGGACCGGTTTCCTCCCATCTCTTGTTTCCCCCAACGCGCCCTACGCCTCATCACCAACCGTACTATGAGAGCTGTGTTGCGCAGCCTCAAACTTTCCCTGCCGAGCTCATCTTCCCACCATTGCCTGCCTCTGCTGCCTTCAACCGAGTCGTGAATAATAGCAACGGTTCATCCGTTGGTCTTACGAGGTCAGATGCGAGGCCAGCTAGTGCACAAATTTCACCCCCTTCCACTCAAGATGGAAACTCTCCTGCTCCGCCTGCCCTTTCGTCAGCCTCGTCTTCGTTCTCCTCTGCTTCTTCTGTACCCGAACTTACTCCCAACCGAAACTCTTCCTCAAGCCCTCCATCGTCTTTACCCGCCACCAGCGATGTGGACACTGACATGCACGATAGCCGTCCTGCGAGTGCTGGCGGCGATATCTACAAGACTCTCAGTTCCACAATAATCGCAGACCCCCTCGATGATCAAGAGGAGGCTTCCGTTTCCGCTGACGGAGACGATGACGGTATCTTCAACACCATGTTACTTGGTCCCGTGCGATTCTGGGGCGAGTCTCCGAAGACAGCTGGAGGTCTCCAACCAGGCATTGAGCTCCTCAATTTCAGCGAGTCTGACGACGACAACGACTCTAACGAAGATAAGAAAGGGAAGAAGAAACAAGGCGTTCGAAATCGGAAGGTTGGTTTTCTGTGTTAATGACCATTTTCTTCATGACATGCTGACGACATCTTTTAGAATTCGTCATTCCCTCCTGTACCCACCTCTCCTACTCTCGCCTGTCGCACTAAGCAATCGAAGGCAAGCGGCACAGGCCGCCCTACCACACCCGTTTCCTCTTTGCCCCTACCGTCTACTCCTCGAAGTACTCATCAAATCTCTTCCGTCCGCACACCGATCTCCCACAAGGGCCTTCATATGAGCCCGTCGACAAGCCTTGCTCACTATAAGTCCAATCTCGATCCTCCTCCTGTCTATACTGGCGGAATAACGCCCACACCCTTGGATTTCATGCAGGGCGACGACGACGCCGATCCTATGCGGACGCCTCGAAAGTCTGGATCCAGCACTATGACAATTTTTGGTAACCCAGTTACACCAAGAAAGCTCATGTTCGGCATGTCTGATTCACCTTTCCGGACCCCAAGCGGCCAATCTCCCTTCCGCACGCCTGGTTCTCGCCACATCTTTGATCCCCATGACCCAAGGCGGCTCCTTGACGAGGAGTTGAACAGGATGAATAACGACAGTCCGGCCGGTCTGTTTGGCAAAGCGCGAGGTTCGCTGCTTTACGATAGTCCAGGTTTGGACACGGACTCGCATCCCAAGTGGTGGTGATTCTCCTTCCGCTCTCGGTCACATCCCTCATTCCCGTGTATTTTTGGTTCATCTTTCATGACAATGTTATGACTTTCATCATCTATCGACGATCTCTTTCCTGTCTTATTTTTTATTCTCTTTCAGACAGTTTCTTCCCTTTTACATATTGTGAACCGTTTCCATACAGCAGGCTTGGAACACGGACACCAATTGGTTCACCGCATGCCATTGACAGTTGCGCTTTGGTTGCCAGACACTCATGAATTCTCTCGTCTTGCTTGTTTTCCAGTTCATCTTCGCATCAAATATCTTTTTCCTTCTCCAATGTAGTCCCCCGAGGTACACATTGTACGTTCAGCTCCCTTGTCCGTCACAAACCGCTTGTATGTTTAGGTCGATTGTCGCGCTGTATTCCATGTACTCTGTCACTCTGCTTTCGAGTAACCGTCAAAATATATATTTGAATGAATGCGATGCGCTTCATTACAAAATAGAAAGGTAGATATCATTCACGATGTTGTTCAACCTGTGTAAAGGATCGAGAGTCAGAACATGTTATATAGGAACATATAATAGCAAAGAGCGAAGGAAATCAGCTGGCTGTTCTTAGTTTTTTTTGTATACAAGTTTCCCCAACGCCATTTGGCTTCGGAATTGGTGATATTGTTCACATCTTGAGAGACAGCGGGAAATGGAATCAACTCACATTGCCCATAAACGAAGACAATAGGTTCCGAAAGAGAAAATCTGCGATGTAGAGTTAGCATGTTTGTCTTCCAACGGAAAGAAGCAAGTTCAGAAATGCACGATTTGGCTGTGTGCTGAACCGATCATCAAAGCTGATAGCTACGACTGGGGCGGCAAAGATGTCATCAGACGTTGTGTAGAGACTGACTCACCGAGTCATCCTGCAGAAGGTGGAAGTGAAAAGCAGTCATCCTGAAAAAAAAAGCTCAGCCTTATAACTGGACCGAGCGTGTGAATTTCAGGCAGTCATATTGGTCATCACTTTTGGTGCACCCTCTGTCATCGACCACCACTCCCTTAAAACGCTACACACGAGGTATAATGTCTCCTCCGGGCTCACCCAGGTTGGTTGACTTCTATACAGTGCCAAAGGACATCCTCCAAGAGTTCCACGACCTTGCAGAAGAGGAAGATGTCGATCCTTTCGCTGAGACCGCCTCCCAGCGCCAAATCGCGGCACGACAGTCAGACTACCACAAGCGCCGCTTCAATCGTGTAGCCGTCGACAGCGCAGATGCATTCCAGCAAGGGGAGGATGGAAAGGATGCGGAGGGCGGGTATAAAGAAGCCATGAGGTTGGCCAGGTTGGAGCAGGAGGAACAGAGAGTGAGGAAGGCTATCGAGGAAAAGCAAAGGAGTCAGAGGGAGGAGGACCAGATGAAGATGGACCTCGACAAAACACCGCCTCGGGAGGAAATTGAAGCAGCGGAAAAAGAGCTTGCAGCCATGAAGACGGAGAAAGAAGTGTCGAGCACCAAGCGGAAGAGGCGGTGGGATGTCGAGGACACGGCTGATGAAAACGTTGACCCGAATCGCAAGAACAAAGGAGAATGGTCCAAGGAGTCTCTTGAGGCGTCAGCACCCAAAAAACGGCGGTCAAGATGGGATGCTACCCCCGCGGAAACACCTACGGAGACACCAAAACGCTCCCGCTGGGACCAGACACCAGCAGCTGCACCGGACGCACCATTAATTCCTATCATCATGAACGCTCCTGGTCTTCAGCAGGATGACAAGCACAATCGTTATCTGACGGACGAAGAACTCGACGCTATCCTTCCGGCCACAGGTTATGCAATTGTTCCACCTCCTCCTGGCTATGCTCACTCGATGGCCCCTCGCAAATTTATGGCAACTCCTGTGACAGAAGTCGGCGGGTTCCAAATCCAGGAAAGCTCCGATGCTGCTGCGGCCGCCGCAGCTGCAGGTCTTGCACCTGAGCTGCCTACAGAAATTCCAGGCGTTGGCAACCTGGCCTTTTTCAAAGCAGAGGACGCGCAGTACTTTGCCAAAATCTTGAAAGAGGAGGATGAGACAGAGTTGACTGTTGAGGAGATGAAGGAGAGAAAAATTATGCGTCTTTTGCTCAAGATCAAAAATGGCACTCCTCCTGTCCGCAAGACTGCACTTCGTCAAATAACAGATAAGGCTCGCGAATTTGGCGCCGGCCCGCTCTTCGACAAGATTCTGCCACTTCTCATGGAGCGCACGCTCGAAGACCAAGAACGTCACTTGCTGGTGAAGGTTATCGACCGAGTTCTCTACAAACTCGACGACCTTGTCCGCCCCTACGTCCACAAAATTCTTGTCGTTATCGAGCCGTTGCTCATCGATGAGGATTACTACGCTCGTGTAGAAGGCCGCGAAATTATTTCCAACCTCTCCAAGGCCGCCGGTCTTGCGCACATGATTTCGACCATGCGTCCCGATATCGACCACGCCGATGAATACGTTAGAAATACGACAGCAAGAGCTTTCTCCGTTGTTGCCTCTGCTCTTGGTATCCCCTCTCTCCTTCCTTTCCTGAAGGCGGTCTGTCGATCCAAGAAGTCATGGCAGGCCAGACACACAGGCATTCGTATCGTTCAGCAGATTGCCATCATGATGGGTTGTGCCGTCCTTCCCCATCTACGCAATTTGGTTGATTGCATCGCCCATGGTCTCTCAGATGAACAACAGAAAGTTAGAACGATGACTGCCCTTGGTCTAGCCGCCCTTGCAGAAGCTGCGGCCCCCTACGGTATCGAGTCCTTTGATAACGTCCTGAAGCCTTTGTGGTTGGGTATCCGATTGCACCGTGGTAAAGGCCTCGCCGCCTTCCTCAAGGCCATCGGCTTCATCATTCCCCTCATGGACCCTGAGTATGCTTCTTATTACACCAAAGAAGTTACTGTCATTCTCATTCGGGAATTCCAAACATCTGATGAAGAGATGAAGAAGATCGTGCTCAAAGTTGTTAAGCAATGTGCTGCCACAGAAGGCGTTACGCCCCAGTACATTAAGCAGGATATCCTCCCCGACTTCTTCAAATCATTCTGGGTTCGTCGTATGGCTCTTGACCGCCGCAACTACAGGCAGGTGGTAGAGACTACCGTAGAGCTCGCTCAGAAAGCCGGTGTTTCCGAGATTGTTGGAAGGATCGTCAACGAGTTGAAGGATGAGGCTGAGCCATACCGCAAGATGGTCATGGAGACCATTACCAAAGTTGTCGCGACTCTCGGTGCCTCTGATATTGACGAGAGGTTGGAAGTGCGTTTGGTTGACGGCATTATCTACTCTTTCCAGGAGCAGACCACAGAGGATCAGGTCATGCTCGACGGCTTCGGCACTGTCGTTAATGCCCTCGGTATCCGTGTCAAGCCTTACCTCACCCAGATCGTTTCCACTATTCTCTGGCGCCTTAACAACAAGAGCGCCAAAGTCCGTCAGCAAGCTGCCGATTTGACAACACGCCTTGCAGTTGTCATCAAGCAATGTGGTGAAGATCAGCTCCTGAGCAAGCTTGGTCTTGTTCTCTTTGAGCAGTTGGGAGAGGAATATCCTGACACACTGGGTAGCATCATTGCTGCTGAAGGTGCAATCGCAAACGTTGTGGGTATGACACAAATGAACCCTCCTGTGAAAGACCTTTGTGAGTATTCTCTTGACACTTGCTCAGCGTCGAACTTACTAACCGCTTTTCAACTAGTGCCTCGAATGACGCCAATTCTGCGAAACAGACACGAGAAAGTGCAAGAAGCGTCCATCAATTTGATTGGCCGCATCGCTGATCGTGGTGCCGAGTTTGTGCCTGCTCGTGAATGGATGCGTATCTGTTTCGAACTCCTTGACTTACTCAAGGCTCACAAGAAGGGTATTCGACGAGCGGCCGTCAACTCGTTCGGTTACATAGCCAAGAGTTTGGGTCCTCAAGACGTCCTTTCAGTATTGTTGACCAATTTGCGTGTCCAAGAACGCCAGAGTCGAGTTTGCAGCACAGTAGCCATCGCCATCGTCGCCGAAACTTGCGGCCCCTTCACTTGCATCCCAGCCATCCTCAACGAATACCGAACAGCTGAACTCAATGTCCGAACCGGATGCTTGAAGGCCCTCTCTTTTGTTTTCGAATACGTTGGGCCTCAATCCGCCTACTACTGCGATTCCGTCGTGACGATGCTGGAAGACGCTCTCACCGACCGAGATCTCGTCCATCGTCAAACCGCCAGCACCATCGTAAAACACCTCGCTTTGGGTGTTGCGGGTTTGGGTTGTGAGGATTCAATGCTGCATCTCATGAATCTCGTGTGGCCCAATTGCTTCGAAACCTCGCCCCACGTCATCGGTGCTGTTATGGATGCCATTGAGGCCATGCGAGTCACCCTCGGTCCTGGTGTATTGTTGAGCTATGTACTGCAAGGTCTTTTCCATCCTGCGCGGAAGGTTCGCGAGGTGTATTGGCGCGTCTACAACGCCCTCTATCTTGGAGCGTCAGACGCCCTGGTCCCCTTCTATCCTGATCTTGGAGAGTTGACAGAAGGACAAAATGTGTATGATAGGCACCCCCTTCAAGTCTTTATTTGATTCCCTCTCTGTCTAGTAGCTCTTGTTCGATTTGTGTATTATATTGTGTGCTGAAATGCTTCTAGTTTAATCCTGATGTTTTGAATCAAGCAATGAAAGAAAAGGGGCCGATTCAAGTCGTTCAATAGGACATTACAAAGCTACAGGTATAATGGGGGGGGCACTTATGAGGGTGTGCCTGTGAGGCCTGGTGGAAAGCCTGCGAAGTCCACTTGATCTTGATAGTTTTGGCCAGCATAAGTATAGGCAATGCGGAGACGTAGGCGGACATTGCTCTGTTGACATGCTTAAGGGCAGGAAAAGAGAAATTGCGAAAAATCACTCACGCCAACTGGGGCAACAACCCTCATTTGCTGAGTCTCAACAGCACCTGGATTGATGCTGGGATTCGACATGGGTAGCATTTGAAGTTGTTGGGACTGCAATAAACCAAATGTGGTCGACAACGGACAGAAAAAAGGTAGATAAGGCGAAAACCAACCTTTGGAACTGCGGCCTGGAAGGACAATCCGGTCACTGCTTCTGTTCCTGACACCTGGAAACGGGCCAAAATCATTACAATCCCCGGCTTAGCAGGTGATGTCTGCGGGGTCAGTGTGATCTTGAGGTCGTTCTTGTCATAGGCGCTGTATGCTGTTAGCCTCTGTTGAGGAGGAGCAGCCGGAACAGGTGTTGACACTGCAGGTGCGGAGGGTGGGAATGTTGAGGCGGGCGTCGAGGGGAAAGTTGGAGCGACACCAGGGTATGGTGTTGGAGGTGCTGGAGAGGCTGCAGCACCAGTACCCGTGGAGCCGAAGAGGCCGAGAATATCGTCTACCGTCGACTTCTGTTGGGTTGGAGGTGAGACAGTAGTTGAAGGTGCAGTTGACGATGATGAGCCAAAAATTTCCGCAAGCAAGTCTTGATTTGATTGGGCGGATGGGGCGGGTTGACCATTCGGTATTCCAGGTGTCGCTGGCACTTCGTCTCCGAGAAGATCAGCCTAAGCATATGTAAGGTCGACATAAGTGAACGAGACGAGATCAAAAGTATACCTCTTTTCCCTTGGTTGATCCAACAGGTTTCTTCTCGCTGACTAGAAATATAGCTTCAGCAAGGGAGGTATACAACGTAAGGAAGATACATACCGACACCCATGACTGTTGCCTTCAGCTCTGGAAGTGGCATCTGCTCCAGGACGCCAATTCTGGTTTCACCTAGGCTAAACAGACTGGCGAACTCGACTGCACGTTGTTGTAGTTCCAGCTCGGGACTGGTGGTATATTTAGCGAGCACCTCGGCAATACGATCTTGTTCTGCCGGACTTGTTGTGCTGCGGGCAGCAATCTTGGTGATTGCGGCTAGGACGAATTGGCGGATGAGGTAGTTGGCGTAAGGTGAGTCCATCACTGAAAAGATTAGATCCACAAGATCCTTGTCCGTGATCTAAAGTGACAAAGCGATTACAGAAATGCTGAATGTTGTATAATGAGGCATACCATGACAGTTTGCTCATCGTCAACAATGCCACCTTGTACGATGATCTCGCTATATTCACCGATAATCCATGTGGCAGCCAGAGTCAACGATTCCTGAGAAATGTCTGCCTTGAGAGCCAGATACAACTTCGACGCCGTGTAGTGTTGCAATTCGGGAGTGTGAGCAACCAGCCTGATGAAGGCGGACAGGATCTCCTCCCGAACGAAGTTCCCTGCCTACGGCATGTAATATGAGGGCACGGCAAACAAAGAAGTTAAGAGAGGACAAACCAATTTAAGTGTTCTCAATACCGTATCTATGTGCCATCGTTTATTCGGCGCAAAACGTTCTGCGGCCAGAGATATTTGTGTTGTCAATCCGAGCTTGAATTCATCGTCTGCAACTTCGAGGAAAGCAAGCAGCTCTCGGATAAGAATCCGGACGTTTTGCTCGTTGATTAGCGCATATGAGAGCTCGAGTGCCCGCCGTCTGATTGAAATGTCACCATCTCTCAAACAATCAAGAATGATGTTTCGATGACGTTGGACTGCATTCGTGTCCATCGATACGACCTTGTTTAACGTATTGAGAGCAACATATCTGTTGACGACTTGCATAAACAGACAACAAGTGTTGGTTAAAGGCTACATACCGAATGTTGTTATCCTTGTTGCTCAAGAACTTTCCGAGGATGTTGATTGCCATAACTCGCAGTCCCGTATCAGCCTCTATTTCCAGCACTGTTAGCACTGTTTCGTAAAGAATCGAGTTTCCAACGTTCTTCGTCGAATCCGTGTTTGTAGCAACCTAGGAAGCTTATGAGAGGCCTCAACGATGTGCAACTTCCAGTTGGGGCGTACCTGGGCAAGAATGTCGTTCATAGTCTCGCTCGCCTGCTCGTCACCTTTGCCCAGTAATCTTAGGAGCCTCAGTATCTTGACTTGAAGGAAAGGATCCGTGATGCCGGACACGTCATGCTCTGGACTATATCCCGTTGTGACTAACGATTTCAAGTTTCGGACAAGCAGAGGAACAGCCTATGAACGCTATCAGACGCGCTGCCAAAGGACAAAAAAGCCCGTAACATACCGATCTGAATTCCTCCAGAATTGCATTGTCGATCTGAACCATTTCGGTGACCAGTGTAATGGCTGTTAACAAGACGCCATGATTACGGTCAGTGAGCAGATTTTTGGCTTTGGCCGTGAAGTGATCTGCAATATCTGGGACCTTCTTGATTACCCGAAGGGCACAGAGAGCTGCCTAGGAGCATGTCAACATCGAACGAGATCGCCAGCATGTGGAGAGGACCTTTTTGCGAATGTAGGTGTTACTTGATCCGAGGAGTTTCTCTATTTCATTGGCGAGATCGCGGGACATTTCCTCAGATGCAATGTTGGCGAATGTGCACAAGGCAAGTCCCACAGCGTACATGTTGGAGTGGTTCATATCACTAAGAGAAATGAGCCTTGGAGTGTACCAAGAGCGAGATGAGAACGCACGCACTTCTTCAGAGAGTTCGTAACCAGCGTCAACACCTCCTGATTTTCGTCCAGTAGCAACATAATCCCAAGATAACCTAGCCGCTTGTCGGAGAAACGGGGGCTTGCGACGAGCTTCAGGCATTCGATCTGACCAAAGTGGGCGGGGGATCCCAGCATATGTATATACAGGAGTTTTGCGATATTGTTGTGCCGCTGAAAAGAGTCCTCTTCCCGAAAGGATGCCCGAATTGCGGCGGATTCTTGCTGGATGAGAGCGCGTTCATCGGCGACAGTCTTTGGAGAGAAAACGATGATCAGATGTCAAGGCATGGGTGTACAAGGATACGCCCAGACCTTGCAAGCACGAATACCCTTGATAAGCGCTGTTTGGGATATCAGGAGTTGTTTCTTGTGGTAGAGAGATGCGCATGCTCACCCTTGAGATTATGATAGACCATAGTGCGGTAATGGATGCCAAAGTCTATTGATTTGTGAGCCCTTCTGCCCAGGCAAGGCTTGCCATTTTCGGCAGAAATAGTTACGTGACGCGTGACGGGCCCGTTATTGTTCGCCTATTGCATTCTCCCACCCATTGTATTCCTTCCACCAGTGCTTACTTATAAATGAACACAACAATACAATCCTCCACCCCGTCCCCTTCTTTCTTCCTCTCCAGCCAGCGGGAACCGGCTGTTTTCCTTATTCATTCACCTTGAAGCCGGTCTTGCCACATACACCTCTTGACCATGAGGTCAACCGTAGCCTCCAGATTCAAACAGCTGCCACAGAACTCCCCTTTGTCCCAGTTCCTGACGCGACACGATGACTCCCAGTGTCGTGGTTTCATAACACGACTAGATAGATCGCCACTCGCAACGAAGAGGTTGGCATTTGCTCCTTTCTTGTTGCTACGTTCCTTATTGATTCTTCTGTCTCGTAGACTCGCTTTTCTTCAAGCGCTCCTCTTGAACGTCGTCGTCCTCACTTTCGTCATTGTATTCGCATGGATGACGATCTTCCGAGACATCCTATCCCCCTTACCAACACCTTTGCGACTTGCGCTCTGCATTACTCAAGACCTCCTCATCGCATCTGCAATTCTTGTCCTCATTCGATCAACGACGATTCCTTTCTTCCTTGGAGAATGTCGCCTTCGTCTCATGTATGGTTTCCGCCTCTCCGAAATCGTCATCCGCAAGCCACCGACCACAACATCGATGCTCAACGAGAGGGTCCCGGAGGATCAACGGATGGAGCGTTCTTGGCGAATGGCAATCAGGGCGGTCGACCCACGGTTGTTGTACTCGAACGCCAGCGGTATCCTATCTACCGATTATTGGACGGTCGAGTATGGCGCCGTTTTCGACGCTATGCGAAAGATAGCGGCATCCGAATTTGAAGAAGAGGACCTTGAGTTCGCTGTTTGGAAGCAGGACAGTGGCATTTGGCATTCAAGTGAGCTATGGAGGATGCACGAGATAATGTCGGCTCAGCAGGAGGTCGAAATGTTCAAGGTACGTTTCTGCCTGTCTGTCGATCTACCCGTCATTGAGATATTGACCGTTTGCTGTAGAAATTCCTGACCCGATCAGGCAAAGAAGGGCTTTTGGCCATCTGGCAAGAGATGCTGTCCAGCAATCCCGGCGAAACGATCGAACGTTCGGCCTCGCCGAAAGCATATCAGGTCATGGTCGACAAGTTTGCAAGGGAGGGTCTCGACTACGAAACTGTGTGGAGTCAAGTTTCTGAGAAGACACTTTCCCAATGATACTACAAGTCGAGTGTTACGCACACGTACTGCAAGGCTAATCTGCGCTCTCGACTTGACGACATGTATAGATTTTTACGACTTCTTTCTAAGTACCACAATTTGACGAACGCATCTACCAAAGTTGTATTACTATCGCCTTATCCTACTGTATTATATCATACTCGCGACACCCAATCTCTATCCTCATACATTTGTTCGTTTTGAAGTTTGAGATTTTGAAGACCTGCATTTGAACATCCCAGTGGGGCTGTCCATCCTGATTCCTGATAGACAGGCCTCCGAATCAGACTCGGCGTCACTCTCATGAAGTAGAATATAATTCCAAAACCACCACACCGGAAATTGAATTGCCCCAGACCATTGACGACGACCAGCATCAACAACGTTCCCTTTTACGGCAACGTGCCCTCTATGTGACTCAACAGGAACCGAAACAAAGAGCGTCGATGAAAGGCTAAAAATTGCCAGGCGCCCACACGATGTTCAGTTGGAACTCCCATCTCGAGCTCAGAGCCTGAATACGGCCCCGTTCAGTCTGCGCGCTCTAGCTGGCAGTCCCCTCTCTACTCGAACCTTCGCCTGTCTTTCTTCAAAACTTACTCTCTTTTCAAGTTGAACTTGCCATCATGAGCTCAAATAAACCCAAGATATGCATTTATTACCTGAAGAACGCCTGCCAACGTGGCAGGAGCTGTGTTTACCTCCATCAAAGACCTCCACTGAGCTACAGCAATATCAAGTCCTCCAAGTCGGGATGCAAATACTACCAGCTCGGCAAGTGTGCCTACGGGGACAAATGCACACGAGGACACGATCCTGGTCCCAGCACGAAGACCAGCACTCAAACAAGCGATAAACGAAATGGATCTTCCAGTTCTCGAGGCCATTCCCCGATGGGTGCTGGAAGCAGTGGCAGTCAACGTGGTCAGTCCGATGCGGAATCTCAGCACGAAAAACAACAGAACGGAGGTTTGGGCGATCAAGACACCGATCCCTGGCAGTCTCCCGGAATGCCAGAAGATCCCTCCTTTGATCAGCAGCAGGAGAGCTCAGCCAAAGCATCTTGCATTTTCTACACGCAAGGGGCGTGCCTTGCAGGGGATACGTGTGAGTTTAAACATGAAGACCCTCAAGCGCCGGCGTCTCCTCAGTGTCAAGGGAATGCTGCACCAGGTATGTCGGCTCTTTTCTCTCGTGTGGGTACCAACAGCGATTGACTTGAGCCGAAGACGAGCATGTAGTCGCCGCGATGAAGAGATCGGTCTGCAGGCATTATCTGAAAGGAAACTGCACCAGTGGTTTGCAGTGCAGGTACAAGCACACCGTCTTGGAATACAAGGAATCAACGGAACCTTCCGTGTCGAATTCCAACCTAGAGTCTTCCTCTTTTTCGAATCCTTTTGATCGGTCTGCGTCTGGTGGGCCTGACGCAGATGAGGAAGGCATTGGGCAATCGTACGAAAACAACAACGGCGAACAAGAAGAAGAGGCCGAGCAACCTCATCATTCTGAACGAGATATCACGGAAAGTCTCGAGTACGCCGCTTCAGATCCCCCAGACGAGGAAATCGATGAAGACGAACAAGAAATTTTTGTTGAAGAAGCAGAGGTGCAACGTAAACCTGATGAATATAGCGATGAAAGCCAATCTGATGAGGAGGATCACTACAATTCTAGGAAGGATTCTTTGCATAGTCCACGACAAGGCTGGAGCCTTCACGACTCGGCGACAGCATCTCAAGGAATTTCAGGAGCACCTCAGAGGTTAAGTGGATCCAACGACCACAACACAAACGGCCAGCCATCAGTACCATCACCTCCAATTGCCAACACATCGCCTATGATGCAGCCAACGATCCAACCATCACTACCTCAATATCCGCACGTCTCCGAAGTAAAGCTACATTGGAGTCAATTCGCTGATCCGCTCGCCAATCCAAACACCCCTTTCTGCAAGCTCCATGCTCAAGGACGATGTTTGCTGGACGAAGCCTGTCGTTTCCGTCATTCACTTACGGTCGCGGAATACAGCTCTCTCTTCCACGACCTCCAGCCGAACTTATGGACCCTACAGCGTGTGGCAAGTTCATCACAGATGCAACAGGAATGGCAGCAAATTCCTCCAATAGCACCGCCATCCGTTCCAGTCCACCAAGCAGTTGACATTCAGAGCCCACAACCACCCCTTTCTACCCAGCCAACAGCCCAAGCGAACCTTTCTACATCTACATTTGGTCAAGAGTGCAAATTCTACCCTATTGGAAAATGTCGCAATGGAGATTTGTGCCCATATAAACATACTCAACACCCTCCGACTGAGCTACAGGAGACAACAGCCAATGGTTCTGACGACTGGAATTTCGGTGCTCATCGACCGACTTCAAACCTCCCTTGTAAATTCTTCGCTCGGCGCGGGGTTTGCGACAGAGGAGACACGTGCAGGTACCGACATGGTGATGGTGGATATCCTTCCTCCAGGCCTTCTGGGCCTCAGTCTTCTCCAAGTTCAGGAGAGGACGAAGCCAATGGTTGGACTTCCAACTGGGAAAGTAAACATGATGACAAGGAGCACGGCCAAGATGACAATGGTGGAAACGAGTGGACGGCACAACCGGATGAAAGCGGTTGGGGTGAGACCCCAACATGGGGGCAAACCAACTCTACCTCTCGCCCCCGGCCGACGAAACCTTGTTTCGATTTTACGAAAGGACGGTGTCGACGAGAAAATGCTTGCAGATTCTCGCATGACATGGAACCCAGGAATGGAGACCAGAAGAACTCCTGGGCCTCCGGAGGCGATAGTTGGCCGCCTCAGGACGATGCATCGGGGTCTGATCCATGGGGCCAGCAGGGTGCTGGAGGCGCCCAGCAACAAGATGCAAACGATGATAATGGTTGGTCCCAATCATGGGAGCAAGAGCCATCCCCGCAAGCAGTTCCTATGAAGAGCAACATTCCATGTAAATTCTTCGGCCAGGGGTATTGTCGAGAAGGAGATAATTGCGCGATGAAGCACATCAAGGATAGTATCGCTACTGTGGGGCATGACGAAAAGGACTCCGTAAGTAAATTTGTCTTCGTGACTCCCTTCCTGTCCCGAATCTAACACTATACACAGGAATCACCGCCCACGGCTCCTGCTGCCATTGAGAATGACGAGAGGAACGACACATACGTGAACGAACCAGTGGGCGAGGATGAAACAGCGGAGCCCACTCATCAAGAAGAGGAGCCCGAGCCTGAAGAAGAGCCCCGACCTGAATCTGAGTCTGAGTCTGACCCGGAGCTTGAGCTGGACCCAATCGTGAGTTCTCTCGTTCGTTGTTTACATGGACCCTCATTGGCATTTCTGCTGTAGGTTTTTGAACACCAGGATTTCGATAAATTCATCCTCAACTCATTAGTACGGTTTGGATCTGATTCTACCCCAACTTCGGTGACGACAGCTGCTGAATCGTGTAAACTCGTCCTCGCCAACCTTCCCCCCGAAGTCATACCTCACGACATCAACGTCTTGCTGACACCCTACGGGGAAGTCAGAAACTGTCGTAGTTTGGACGAGACCGCAGATTCCGCTACAATTGAAGTTGAACTGGACACACCCGACCAGGCGATGGAAGCGTTCAGAAAATTGCATGGGTCCGACTATGAATCTCGGGAAATTGAGGCGTCAATGAAGACTAGGATCACGTTGACGATGAGGTCGCCGAACGATGGAACTTGCCTCAAGGTTTCCTGGCCGAAGGCGACGGCCTCTGCCTGGAGTCATTACCCAAACATCAGGAAAGCAAAATCGGAAGCCACACGCCTCGACGGCGCGATTCTCGGCGGTCAACAAATCAAAGCCACCTTTGTAACTCCAAATAAACGCCAGAGAGACTCATTCGCGATCGACCTACGCAATTTGCCTGCGACTGTCACCAAGGCTGAAGTCGAAGGCCTTTGTATTGGGAGCACCCTTGTGACCTTGAACCAGCCCTCTTATTCCGATGATCCTGTGGAGAGAATCCGGGATGCACTGTCCCACTTTGGAGAGGTGGACTTTGATGTTGTCCCTTCTCCAGAGAATCAGGTCACGTCCAACACCTTGACCGCTTTTGCGACATTCAAGAGTCAGACGATGGCCATTGAGGCGCGGGAAGCCTTAGACTCTAAACACCAGGAATATCTTGGGAAGCAACCGCTCTCTGTCCGGTCTGTTCATTATTGCCGCTACAAGATTTCACGGACGCTTTTCACCACCTTGCAGAAGGAGGTTGATCGTCTGGCAGACAAAGGGGGAAAGGAATGTGTTATACAATACAACGACTACCGCGATGGGAACCAGATCCGCGTCCATTCAGTGCCAGATAAGCAGGCAACCTTCGCGGATATTAACGGCGAGTTGGCGTCTCTTGTTCGAGGACAGGTCCTTGAATCAGACGAAGGGTATGTGTGGAGCACCTACTTTGAAACCTCGAGTAGCGCGAAGGCATTGAAACAGCTTCCCACCGACGCCCTCATCCACTGCGACCAGCGTGCGAAATGTGTCAGGATCTTTGGATCGAAGGCTGACCAGGTCAAAGCAAAGTCTCTCATGTTCAAGCTCCTATCGAAAGTGCACGCCCAACAGCACGAGTTGGATGTTCCTCGGCCGCAGTTGCATTTGCTGCTTAATGGCCTCTTCGACTCTCTCCAGACGGAGATGGGATCCCCGAAACTAGATCTCGATGTCATTTCTTCCAAAGTCATTGTTCGAGGAACACAAGAAGACATCTCGAAAGTGAAGGCCGCCGTCGATTCTTTGGATGATACGCCTGTGCAACAATTCAGACGCGGGCACTGTCAGATATGTCATCAACCACCAATGGATCCTGTCTTACTCTCCTGTCGTCACGCGTATTGCAAGGCCTGCATGAAGAAAGCCGTCGAATACGCTGGACACGCGCCCCTTCAGTGCATCTCACAGAAACACAATGCCGACGGTGAAGTTGTGCAGTGCGCCGCATACGTCCCATATGCTGTCATTCACGACATATTCATTCCGGCCGAAGAGAAGGCATTCCTACAATCATCGTTCTATGCGTACGTGCGTTCAAGGCCGGGTGATCTCTTCTTCTGCCCGTCTCTGGACTGCATGGCCGTTTACCGAACAGGAGAACCTGGGTTGAACCTGAGGTGTTCTTTCTGCATTTCGGAAATATGCACTTACTGCAAATCCCATGCTCATATTGGCTTGACGTGCATTGAAATGAAGAGAAGGTAGCACTAGAAGTTCTGGTTTACGTTCATGTTAGTTCGTACGCCCTGACCGCCGTTACGTTCACCCGTATTATTTACGAATGACGCTATGACATCCTAATGAAACACTATGAGTTGGAGACTACTGTCGTTCAAAAAAACAGATCTAATTCATCACGGTTGGATAGAACAGTGAGGCGGAAGCCGATACAGGAATCCATTGCGGACATCGTACTTTGTGTCCAGGGATGCTCTCAGCTCCGTAACAAAGAAATCTGTCTTAAGGACATTAAGCTGACGACAGGCTTGCAGGAAGCTACTGACTAGGTCTTCGTTGGCATTCGAAAAGGACAACCATTGAAGTTGTGGAAGATACCATGGTGGGTTCACGGATCTGCGAGTACCGTCGCACATTTTGGTATAGGTGTACAGATCAATGTCCACGTGAAGGCAACGAACTTGAGGTGGGAAGTGTATGAATTGAAAGCAGTCGAAAATATCGTCGGCAGAGACGTTGGTGTACAAAATGCGTACGGTCTTCAATTGAGGAACAGTTCCTGCAAATTTTATTCCATGGAATAAATCAGAAAGTAGCTTGGTTGTGAGTGCCGACTGTCGATTGGTGGGCTCGATTGTAATTGTAATGGACCGGCACATATCGTTGCGCTTCGTGGGCCGTCCCTGAAACGAGGAGTCGTGTAGAAGGTACATGTACCGTTCGAGGTATGAAGGACATGGGATGTGTGCATCCTTGGAGGCAATGTGAGCGAAGATGTCGGACCATGCCTTGTCCACTAGCTCGAAGGAGGTCATGCAGTGAACTCGTTCTGAAATAGGGAGGGGTGAAAGCCAGACCTCTTCGATTATTTGCCATAAAATGTCGTAGGGTAGTCGAGAGGTGTCGAAGGATTGCATGGAAGCAACAAGGTGGTAAGGCTAAAAAAAACGACGGAGAGTGGGTAATGAACGATTCAGACGGGACAGCTTTATGGAGTCCAGAGTCAATCCCCATTGGATTGAAGGGTTCTCCGAAGTCCCGGATGAACAGGAGAACCGATGTAAGACGCTGCCCCTCAGATAGGCTGCGTGTGTTGCTTGCATACCCATCCCTATCAAGTGACCAGCTACTGGCAACGATAACGACAACATCATAGGCACGACAAGCGCGTTGAGTTTTCCAGAGGATGAAAAACCTGCTATATTGGGAAAGGAAACAAATTACACGCGACTATAACAATCGAATACTCAGCCCCAACGCGATTTGGATTTGTCTCTTGAAGCAGAAGGCCCAGTTCCAGACCCATATGGCTGGAAGCGGCTCTTTTTCTGCGGCGCTGTCTCCTTTTCCTTTGGCCGAGCGAAATCGATCTGGGTCCGTTTTCCAGTTGCTTGAGATGCCATTTGCTTTTCGGAACGCTCTTTCTGAGCGTTAGCTTTGAATTCGTGCAGCCAAGCGTTGCAGCCCGCAGGATGGAAGCGATTCAGCGCCAGGAAATGAGTAAGGTTTGAGGGCCG